AGTCGACTAGACTAATCAATTAACTTATCTGTTTCATGAATCGTTCGAAATAACAATTCGAAACGGGAAAATAACTGAGATAGGTATACGGAAATATCTAGGTCAATATCTGATATAGTAAAAATGCTACTCGAAGCTAATATCATGATCATTATATTATCGACACTGTCATCATTATCACTTATTCCACATCCAACTGTCTTATAGAGTAGGCATGGCTAATATTTGTGAGCGCTGTCATCAGCTGTGTACTGTACGAGAACTTTGTATTGATTGTTTTATAATAGAATGCCTCAATAGTGGAGAGCGGATTCCATTCAACATCAATAACACCTGGGAGAGTTTTTAAAAAGAGAAAATTTCCCTATAAGCTATTGTGTGAGAAATGTGGGAAATTCTTGACGAGAACTGACATGTACCGCCATATGAGGAATGTCCATCACTCCTGTTGATGAATAATCGCCGATTATTCATCGGACTAATTAGGCAATTGCGTTCACATAAATCAGTTGATCATACGTACAGATGCATACAGATCACGCCTACATTTGCCCACAGATGTAATCGAATGTTCATTTGTTTATCAGACACCATAGCGTCCACATCATGGAGCCCCATTCATCAGAGCAAGCATTAGATGAATATCACTGTGCAGATTATGATAATGCTTATGGACCGAAAGATGTTGATGAGCACTCGGCCATAAGAATCGATGATAAACACATAGTCGTAGATAATGTCGATTTCAGAAGTACTTTGGGATTATTATTTTCCAAGAACCCTCAAAATTACACGCCTTTGGATCACCAGATGTATAAACAGATGCTGGGAATCAGCGCTATTCATAGATATCGATTGGGCCAGATGAGCTGATAAGAAGAAATTCGATGAAGTTATCAACCCACTCTTCGAAAATAAGACCAAGCCTAAACGTCCAAAGTCGAGCGTGGAGCCTGAAGCCAGTATTGGGAATGACGAGTTCAATATTTTAGATGGATGGACAGATCCGAATATCTTGGTGGATAGACTGAGATATTTAATGGAATATCACAAAACAATAAAGAAATTAACCTCATTCTTACTGAACTTGAAAATGTTGGCATATCTAAAATAAATGATTGAAATTTATCCGTCTTTTATTGTGTTTGTAAGCATTTGAGAATAACACGCAATGACTAGTCAACTCCACTTACTTTGTTTGTTGATCAAACATGTGACTATATGATTTAAAAAAAACACCCTGTATAACGACTCATAGTAAATTAGTTGCGATTCTGAAAAAAATAATAATTTTTTTTATATTTATTATGGATACCTACCTATACATCACAGAACCATTCATATCACCATAATTAATACACAAACATTTTTCAAATAATTTCTCAGATCCAATGTCTGAACGGAAGGCTAAAGATTGATCCATCTTCTTGATGTGTAGTATTAGTTTAGATGCAAATCCTCTTCTTCGATACTCCCTCATAGTATAGATAAAATTTAGAGTTTTCGGTCTATTATGTTTTCCCAAAGGGTCAAAGTGCATGCTAGACATTAGGGCAAAAGATGTCGGAAACCCGTCCACATAAATGATATATAACAGGATATGTTCTGATCTCGATACCAGTGATCGATCAATACATCTGACTCAAAAAAATGAGAAACGAGGTAGCGACATTTCTTGCTGACCCGCCCTGTATAGCAGAAATATTTTTCAGTGTCGGATATTGAATATTAGGTCTAGGACTAAAAAAAGCTCTTGTTTCAGCTTGAACAGCTGAATTTGTGTGATTTCGATAGTTCCTTGTATCTCATATGGAACGATAAGAGATTATTTCCTTTATTGTCCGTTAATTGTAGTCTATAACTCAGCTGATTTAATCATCTTTCTAGGCTTTGAAAGAATATGATTTTCTGTATACGCCAAATATAGAACAACCAAGATAACGGCATCCTGTTTCAACGCTCCAACTTGAACAGCTGTTTGATTTCGGTAGTTCGTGGATTTCGTGAAAAACGATAAGAGAACCCGTGTATGTCCTTTATACTCACTCGTTAATTGTTGTCTATAGCTCATCTACTGTAAGAGTATCAGATTTTGAAATATTCGGTGGATTCAGTGGCAGATAAAATGCATAATATGCACACATGAAGACAATTTTTCATATAAGCCTCTCAATGTATAGGGTGAATCAGTCAGTAGTCGGACAGTGGACTGAGTTTTACAAAAGAATCATATTATGTGATGCATGGAAGAAATGCTCAATAGATCATATCAATAAGCCAAAAAAATACAACAAATTGTGTTCTTCTTTGCCAGTAGTCGGACACTCGTCCGACTACTGGAATTTCATAAAAATAAATATCTAGTAACCGGCCACCGACTTTTCACTTTGAAATTTCAGTAAACATCAGTTTCAAATGATCTTAATGCAAATTAAGACTATTTAGGACGCATACAAAATCAATATGAATTCATAAGTTTGAAATATCCTTTGCCTATGTTTGATACACTATGTTAAAGACAGTCACGCACATCACTGAAATGGCGCGCTATTATAATTTCAATGGCACCAACTGCTCAATCGAAAAATGTTTAGAATGGCGTGGAAACATTGGTGCTACAGATTTCTCTTCATTTGGAGGTAATATGTTATTTCCAGGCAAACTTGAGAAAACTATGTTTCTATCTCGATAAAGTGGTCCTTCATCAGGCTATTACTTCAAGGAATGATCTTCGACTCTCGTTTTCGCGATAGAGGGTGTTGCATGAACTTTATGAAATAATATTCACGATGGCCTAATGAATGCTCTGTTTTGAAAAAACAAAAAATAATTTTCTCTAAAATTGTTCTAAAATTGTTCTATCTTTCATTCGGTTACTCCCCCTAACGAGCAACCCTCAGAAGTCTTCAAGAGACTTGTGCGAGCAAGGAATGACAGGGACCTTATACCTTTTGACGTGTGATCCCAAAACACTTTCTTTGGCCATCAGAAAAATTTCTGTAGTCGTTGAGAATCGAACCCACGGCCGGTAAGCGAATGCTGATTATCAATATTGACACTTTGTCCGCACGGCTATCTGGCCGATATTTCCAAGAGGAATGGCTGATTGAAACATTAAAGCGACCAGAACGAACAGAAAAGCGCTATAGAAATATGAAAACTTACTTTTCTTCAAGATAAAAGGCACAAACACTAAATAATTGTCAATTGGTGTTGAACACTGTTCAAGATACTCGAAAATTTGATGCGTTGGTATCGAATGATTCGTCTAGATACGGCTAGCACATTTTATACTCTCGAGCTATTCAATTTTTTGCATTTCCAGCGAATTTCGGCATATGGCTGCAGATAACAGCAATCTAAATTTTTCGCATTTCCAACGAATATCGGCATGTGACTACAGATAACAGCAATCTATGGACGGCTATAGACGGATATATATGGGGAGATATTTATTCGTCTAGATACGGCTAGCACATTTCAAACCTCCGGAGCAATTCAATTTTTTGCATTTTCAGCGAATGTCGGTATGTGGCTGCAGATAACAGCAATATAAATTTTTCGCATTTCCAACGAATGTCGGTATGTGACTACAGATAACAGCAATCTATGGATGGATATCGCCGGATATATATAGGGAGATATTCAGGAAGTATGTCAAAGCAATGTTTATTAATCATAATATGTTAAGGTTTATGATGAAATAATCATTATCTATTGGTGTAAAATGCATAAACCACCGGTGCATCGTTATCTTTTATATATTCAACATTTTCTTTATGTCTATTTCAGTATAAATAGTCGAAACTGAATTTATTATTCATTCTCCTGATTCTTTGATGAATTCAATATTCTGAGTGTTAGTGTCTGCATTAGCATCAATAATAGTAAGTACCCCTCTTTTCTCGATTACCTATAGTATTTCATGTCTGAATTTATTTTCTTGGTCCTTTGATTTTTTGCTATACGTAAATGACCTCCAAAATCACGTCAGCACGAAACATCTAATTTTATATGCTGATGATACCACTTTGGTAACGGATGCTGAGTCGGCGGAAGAACTAATTTCGAAAATGAATATTCTGTCTAGAGAATTTACCTCGCGGTGTAGGAGGAATTCTCTGATGCAGTTTTTCACCAGAAATCAAATATCTGAAAGTAGCAGAATTTTAGTAAATAATATTGAAGTTCCTTTTTCGAAGTCTACAAAGTTTTTAGGTGTATTTGTGGACAATAATATGAGTTGGAATACGAATATTGATCATGTTTGCAAGAAACTGAATAGTGGTTACTTCGCTATACTGCAATTGAAAAATATCTTCACAAAGAGCCAATTGCTCAATGTATACTATGCTATCGTTTACTCGCATCTTTCGTACAATATCATTATCTGGGGTAGCGCAGTGGGCGCGTGCAGAGTTTTCATTTCTCAGAAGAGGGTTATTCGTTTAATCTTCAACTTAGACAATAGAGAAACATGTCGAAATCATTTTAAAAAATATGAGCTTCTCACATTTCACTCAATCTACATCTACAAATTCATAGTTTATGCCAAAAGTAATCACAAAGATTTTGCTTTCACCTCAGACTATCCGACTATCCTACTCGATCTTCAAACCTCATGAGACCCCTCCAAACACGGAACAAGTCTATATAAAGAAAGCCCCATGTACAAGGGAATCCAATTTTTTAATCATCTGCCGGTCTGTATAAGATTTATTCAAACATAAACTCAAAAAGTTCCTATGCAACGAATGTTTCTATGATACATATGAATTTTTAAACAACAAATATTAGATGTTTAGCAGAAGTTACTGTATTGTGATTTATTTATATTTTTTATATTTATATATAGTTCTTAATGTTATTTTATTCTGACGAGAACTTTCTTCCGCTGACATATTCTATATCATGTTTCTTTGTGATCAAAAAGGATGAATAAATTTTTATTATTATTATTATTATTGTTATTATTATACAAAGCATAATTATTCTAGAAAATGTCGTCTGATTTAGGATATGAATCTGATGATGATTTTGATGCAGAAATTATTGCATGGGCAAATTGGGTGTTGAGGGAGTTCCCCCCTCAACTTGGGCATCAGCCTCCAGTTGTGTGAGTACATAATTTGATTCGTATGGTTGAAATATACCATTTTGCTTCAATATTGAGCTATTTATGATCTCTAAGCGCTTTGTCTAGATAACGAATTTCATACAATTTTAGAGATAATGAAAATGGTGCGGAGGGGCTGCTCATCGCTAAGCAACAGAACATGGAAATGTGAGTTCTAAAAATTGATTCTACTAGGTGTTTATGAATTCAATATATTTCTTGTAGCAATGATGATGCTAATAATAAGCCTATAGTGATGTTAGTTCTGAAATTGATTCTGTTAGGTGTTTATGAATTCAACATATTTTCAGTAGCGATGATGGAGGTAGATGATGAGCCTATTGAAATGTGAGTTTCATAAATTTATTTAATTAGGTTTATGAATTCAATACATTTTTAAGGAGCGATGATGAGTGAGAAATGGAGGCTAATGAGCCTGTAAGAATGTGAGTTCCATAATTTAATTCAATTAGGTTTATGAATTCAATATATTTTTAGAAACGTTGATGCTCTAGCCCCTATAAGGGATGGGAAAGTAATTTTCAATTATATTCCCGAGGCCGGGATCATTTATGAGTGAGTTTATGCAAACTGACTCTAGATGAATGCTCATAATTTGATATAATTTCAGGAGTGATTAGTCCGATGAGGCCATCTGATGGATGTTCCTCGATGAAAATCTTTGAATATCTTTGATAAGAGTTTTGAATTGATTTTGCAGTATTTTTTCCAATCTCATATAATTTTGGGACTGCTTGCAGGAGAAAGCATCTTGGTAGGATATTGGCTCCATATTGGGGATAATATCCTACCAAAATCATGTTAAGTAGTTGAAATAGGACTCAAGGTGAGACTTTTTCCTTTAAAAAAAAGTAACGAGCCATTATAGTCTGTATAATATTTTTTTGCGTGTGAATGAGATCTATTACCACCATGCTATCCTCTTTCAGAGTAGAATATGTAGCAAAAATTTCTATAATGACGGGAACTTGCATTTTAACTCTATTCTCAATACATCACACCAATGCCTTGCTGAAACAGCTGACCGCAAATTGATTTGATACATTTCTTGACGTTGTGACGCATGCGTAACGAAATATCATACGGACTGTATGAGTCATACCTCTAAGGGTCATGCTTATCGTTTATGAAACTTTTTTTCGTGATACTCATCACGCATTGTCTGATGATGTTATGGAAAAACAGTTTGCGCGACCTTCAGGTGGTTATGGAAATTGACTCACCCTGTATATACTTGTAGAATGCATGAATTTAAATAAATTTGCTTCATATTACCTAAATATGATTCACTCTGTATATTTTCTTGCTTCATTATTAGGTAGTATTTTTGCGAGAGGGAACGTGCGATAAGAGATATCGTTATCGTCTATGTTGAGTTTGAATATATGCAATCGATTTATTTTTAGTTGAATCGCTCGCTGTTCGCTCCTATTCATTAGTTTCATTCCGTAGGTATTTCTATCAATTTTTCTATATATAGTAATTCGGGATTGGGTAGATCTTCTTATCACCTCCCTCCTCCTAGATGATTCCCTTTTTTCAATTGATCTATAGAGAATTCTCAGACCTATTATAGGTCTATGAGGAATCTTTCTCATCGAGTAGTTGACATGTTTTTTCTGTGTGAACGCTGCCATGTTTATTTTTTCTGTATAATCGCTAATCCCTAAGGCCCCTAACCCCTTACATTATGAGTTTTGCTAGTGACATTTTCACATATTTCGCCAGCACTTCTCTGGGAAGCAGCGATCTTCTTTTCGTGTCTTGTTCAAGAGTTGTTCGACATATTTCCTGGTTTTCAAATACTTCCACTCCATACGTCCCCTGTCAAAAAACATCTGTCATACGTAAGCTATCCCTTTGCCGAGCCCACCTGAAGTGTGGTGGTCTAACCTTGTATATTTTTTATTGCTATTCGGCTCAACCGTCTTTTATATTGAATGAAATCATGAGATTGCGTTAGCTGTCTGATTGAAATGACTGTATTCAGTATTGGGCTATAAATATCAGGTTATTCAACAAAGTATCACACCTAAACATGGCTAACCTCTAGCCTTCATAACCTCCTAGCACCCTTTACCTATACGCGGGGTAGTCTACCCGCCAGGTGCCTGCTTTGTTTCGCTTTCGGCAAGCATCGGGTATACGATATACGTAGCGACCGCCTATCAAATGTCATAAGCCATCTGTCGGCTGTCGATTGTTCAGCGAGCACCAGAAGGTCACGTGGTATACCTCGTATATCATATATCGAATGTATTATGTTAGTCGTCATCCGTTTACGTACTCTAGGTGTTATAGCAGTCTCTGAGTATGACAAGAAGTGGGGTGGTCTACCTGCGAGTCGCCCTATATCTATAGCTCAAACACCCTGTATATTGAACGGAATCAACAGTCAGCGCGTCGTCTGTCATATACATTGCCTGTCTTATAATATGTTTGAATGATGTGTATCGTTTTTTATGAGGTTACTGAAATGAGTATATGTAGTATACATCGTTTGTACTGAATATGAGCGTTCGCTTTCGATGAAGCAATGAATCATAGGCCAAACGTTTCGCGTGATATCTGTGCTATTTTGAATCGATCGACATCTTGTTTCAAAAACCAATTTGATAAAAATTCGTAGGTTGTCTCGACTGTGAGTGTTTCTGCCGACAAGCACTGGACGATCACGTGATATACGTCATCTGTCAAACATCATACGTATCGTTAATATTCTTAGGTTAGGTCGACCCTGAGTGTCTGCTTTTGACAAGCGCGTCTCGTGGAATGTTATCTGTCGAATATCATACGTATCATCATTTCAGCGCCATTTTGAACTGGTAACCATTTTGACTGCCTCTGCTTTTGGCGAGCGCGTCACGTGGTATCCGTCAAACGTTAGTTGAGCGCTTAGATTCTGCACTAGAAGGTCGCATGTCATCTATTATGTGCTATCTGTCATTCGTTGACTGTAACCTACTATAAATGTGATATATTATTCATGAGACACCCTGTATATTTTCATTCAGCGATCCGCCCTATATATCCCATCTTGTTATTGTAGTTGTGTTATTGCTATTCTTATCAGCAGCCTGCTGATAGCGTCGGAGCCGGATGACCAAAATGACCAGAATGAACCTTAACTTTTCTTATGGCAATTAACATGGGAAAAGTGGTCGAAATGCGGGAGTTTCGGCATAGCTCCTTTACTTAGATTCACCTGTGGAAACAGAGGTTAAATACTTAGGAATAACCTTGGATAAAAAATTATCATGAAAACCCCTCATCGAGAATATTATCAGTAGATGTTGAGTAGGACAAAATTTCTCCAAATCATGTCTAAGAGTCTGGTGGAGAGCGGATCAGGAATCCTCGCTAATCTTTTACAGATCGTATATCAGATCAATAATAGACTACGGGTGCATCTTTCACGGCTCAGCTAACAAAAATCTATTACACCGATTGAACATAGTTCAGAACACATTCCTACGAATATACCTCGGAGCAATGAAATCCACTCCCGTAGGAGCACTCAAAGCTGAAGCCTTGGAACCGCCGCTTCATCTACGAAGGGAATTTCTTGCCAATAAATTCACTACGGAATTAATCATGAAATACTCAAAGCCACTGACCAATATAAATATCTTGAATGAATATGACCTGACCGAATCGTATTGCAGACACAAAAATACTCCACTCTTATGTGAGTCTTTCAGAGAAAATACAATCTTTAATGAAAACATTATGGTAGGATACCCAAGCATACCAGAACATATAACTTCTTTGACTCATCTAGCCATCCATCTGTAATTATTTGAAACTACAGCATGTCACCTCTGATCAACCAAAAACTACTCACCCAATATTTTTCGAACTTCCCTGGAACAACTAGAATTTTTACTGATGCATCCAAATCAACTGCTGGTACAGGCTGTGCTTTCCTCATTCCCGACGGAATAAGGCAAATGTTCGAACTACCTACAACTATGTCAATATGTTCTGCTGAAGCCTTTGCTATATACCAAGCACTTTCACATATAAGGGACAATAACATTCCAACAGCCACTATTTTATCCGACTCCTTATCAGTATTGAACTGTATTAAATCCAGTTATAACCCAAACACCCTTCTGAATCCTCACATAATCGAAATCAAACACATGCTATTTGAAAATCGCACAAATGGCGTGAAAATATCCTTTATATGAGTGAAAGCTCATATCGGAATAGCTCATAATAAAGAAGTTGACCTACCAGCCAAAAACAGCATCAAATCAGGAAACGAAGTACCAACGGTACCAGTAATTGATGATACGTTCAATCTATACAAGCACGAAATGATGAAGAAATGGTCAGCACAATGAAACGAGTACTGCTTCACAAACCCAACCAGATACACTCTCATTCACCTGGAACTCCCAGAATCCTGTTGGTATGAGAAGTTCAACACACCCAGAAAATATATTACAATTATCAGTCGATTGAAATTCTGACATGGACATACTACCTTCTAATCTCTGCACAGAATGCAATGTTGAGGGACATTCAGACCACTTATTTTTCGAAAGTTAAAAAAATCGCCCATTCTCGAATGAATTATACAACGAACTATTGAAACTGAATGTAACATCCCCGTATAATTTATTCTTTCTATTAACACTGCAAAGTAGACAAATTCTGGAACTGCTATATGAATTCATCAAAGAATCTGGATTGAAAATATAAAGCTTGAAAAACAAAAAATAATAAGAACAGTACATCCATTAACTATACATACATACCATATAACATCTACCTCTGTTTTTAACCTTTATTGTTTCAGCCATGTTTTAGTGGCCCTGTTTGTTTGTTTCATCGAAAATGCCTTGAGGGGTCCCAAGGCGAGAAGCGAGTGTCCCATGTATTTTCCTTCCACAAACCTTAAATAAATATGATGAAACCTATGATGATACATTATTGAGTCTGGCTGAAGAGACCATGTCCACAAAGCCATTGAAAAAAAAATATATACATATCTTCATATGGGAAAATACACAGTAGTCAAAACAGGTTGGCATGTACAATGTTTTGCTGGAGAGCACGCAGTTCACATGTAGTTTATTTATCTTATTTTCATTAGGTGAATTCTGCAATTGAGTTCTAAATATTTGTAGGTTATGTAAAAATTAACAAAATTATTTTCATTGAAAGGATGAAGTTATACTGAATAAGGTATCATATTACTGAAACATTGGGGCTTGAAAAATATAATATAATTTTTTGTGAAAAAAAAATGTATCAAAATGAATTGTTCACAATGGGATGTCAAATCAAACCAAAGTTTCTGCTAGTTGACGATATGGACTATGAACTGCGTACACGGGGTGTAGTCACGAATAGACATGAATGAAAAACTCAAGATTTTAGGAACTGCCCCGCGCAAGGAGAAGAAGAGATCTCCAGAGTTGGTCGATGCCAACTATGTCTTTGTTGATGAAAAAACTCAGATCACTGCTACTCCAGATAGTATTCAAAGTCAAATTCCTGATTTTGATGTCACAACAACAGATTCATTATATCAACGAATCAAAGCTAGATTAGGGCATGTTGAGGCTAGGATTAGGAAAATGAGAATAGATATTTCGAAAAAAGAAGAGGTTTCTTTCAAAAATAAGGCATATGCTACCAGCCTAACTTCAGCAGCCATTTCAGAAGAACAAATAGAGCCCCCCACCTCAAGTGCACCACCAGTATTGCCTTTACCTCAACCTAATGTTAGTTCTCAAATGGTCAGTGCACTTTCAACTTCAAAGCCAGCAGCACTATATAAATGGAATTTGAAATTTAACGAAATGGATAATACCTCATTATTGGAAAGAGTAGAGGAACTTTCTGAAGCAAGACATGTATCTATGATTCAGCTCTCGATCTATTTGATGGAAAAGCACTTTTATGATTTCGTTACGTCTCAAGTAGTGTGAAAGACTGGAATACCCTTGCAAGGAGACTAGAACAGGATTTTTTGAATAAGGATTTCGATTGGGAATTTTGAGAGACAATCAAATATCGTGAACAACGTGATGATGAATCAGTAATTCTTTTTGTAGCAGTAATGGAACAATTTTTTAATAGGCTGAGTAACCCTTCCGCCTCTGTCACCGAAGTTCAATAGATACAAACAAATTCAAAACCAGAATATGTAGAAAGGTTAGCCCTTCACAAGTATGACACAATAGAAAATTTGATTATAGATGCAAGGGCATTAGATGACCTTTTCAGGGATCTTTATGTCAAACCTGATTCTCGCAGACAAAATGTCAGTTCACTGAGTAATGATTTGGAATTAGAGTTTGGTAGTTGTAGTGTTCAGGCCGAGCAGCGTAGTTCACAAATGAATTTTTATCATAAGCGCACAAGAAATTTTGGAAATAGAACGTTCAGAAACCAGAACCAGAGGCATGGCTGGAGATCGGGCAGTTCACGAGATTTCTCTTCTCCTGCGCCTAGTCAACCCTCCAGCAACAATGAATCCCCTCGAAATAGAACCTTATCCTCCCAAACTTTTAGAAAACCCATTATTTGTTATAATTGTCGTCAAGAAAACCACCATTTTAAACATTGCACAAAGAGGAGAGGCAAATTCTGTTATACTTGTGGAAAACAAGATGTAATTAAATCCGAATGTGAAAATTGCAAGGTAAACGGTTCCCGGAGATAAAAGTTGAATTTTCCAGCCAAATTTCACCTCCATTGAATCAGGCCTCTGAATTTAATGCACGAACTGAAAAACAGTTGGAAATATTGACCTTTGTTAAGAGTTATTTTGAAGATACCCCAAAAATTGGAAGTCCACATGTCTCAAGATTTAGTTCAGTCAATTTTAATGAGAGTCCAGTCAACATCAAATGAATTCCAGTCAATATTAATGAAAGTCTAGTCAATATTAATGATAGTCCAGTCAATATCAATGATAGTCCAGTCGACATCAATTATAGTTCATTCAATAATATTGTTGATAGTGGTACCGTCACAAAGTTACTCATTTATTTCAGGAAGCGATTTTTGTGGAAAGTTTCAGATCAAAATTGACTTCGAAAATAACTCATAGAAAATTCAGGGCAGTACTGATGTAGATATTGCACAAGTCGGATTCAACTATATCAATGCCTTGTCTGAAGATAATGTGAAAACCTTAGATAAGATGACTTCTCAGCGAAGAGTCTTGGTGAGAGAAGTCATTTCAAAATTTCAATTCTCAAATAGAAATGGGACTTTGGGTAGTACTAACAAATTAGTTCATCATATTGATACAGGCGACGCCAGACCAGTTGAGCAACGACAGTACCAAACGTCTCCCAACATGTTGGCCCATTTGAATAAAGAACTCGATAATATGCTAGAGTTGAATGTTGTCGAACCTTCAAGGAGTGAATGGAGTTCTCCGGTCCTTCTGGTGAAAAAAACGAATGAGGATTTCTGAGAAATTGATTGAATTCCCTGTCTCTATAGAGATTTGACGATAAGTAGAATAGATAACATGAATTTTCAATTTTCCATAAACCTTCCCACACTGATATCACTATTCATAATAATCCAACACACCCTCATCAAGATAAAATTGCGGCATATAATAGTATGATACGCAGGCTAGTGAATGTCTCTCTTCCGTAAGTGAATTTCAATTAAGAACTAAATATCATAAAACAGCTTGCAGTCAACAACGGATAAATCGTTGATTTGATAGACAGTATTCTTCCTGGAAAACTTTATTATAAAGCTATTCAAGAAGTTTATCCTACTATGAAGAATAATCATTGAAATTATAGAACCCTAACCTATTTCGAATCATCAACTGAAGAATTCGTTTCATTTCTACATGAACAGGACTCAAAAGTGGCATATAAAATAAATAACACGTTGGAACGGTTTATCAAGAATAATAAAGACAAAACTTCTGAATTCGAAAAATCAGGGGTATACAAACTCAACTCTGGATCTTGTCCTAAGGTATATATCAGTCAGACAGGTCGTATGTTCATTCAGCGTATTCATGAAAATAAGATGAATTTTATGGAAAACAAGACAAATTCAACATACGTCAACCAATAATTAGAAGAAAATCATAGTTTTGATGTTAATTTCGAAATTCTACACGCAGCAAATGAAGGACTGAGACATAATCATTTTGAATCATTATAAACCAACAAACTCAAGAATTTTCACATGTTACTTGATAATTTATTAGACCTCAATATAGTTCACCACTGTTGAATTTGTTTTCTCAGTAAGTAATAATAATATGTATTCGCTGTCAATTTTCACAATTTAATCCGGGACACCGTCTTCAATGTATATATTGTGCCCAATTTCTAAAAATTGAGGTTAATCGTACCTGTTCACAGGTTACTTATTCTTCAGGTTGGGAAAGTAGGATATATAAAAGTTCAGCAAGCCAACGTTAGTTTAGTTCAACGTAGGTGATCCATAACTTACAGTGGAGGTGATATGAATCAGGAGGGGTGAAAGAACTTACAGTCACAACTACACCACAAAAAAAATTAATAATGACCAACGGTCATGGACATAAGTATGAGGACATGTTTCGAAGGATTAATCCTTCATCATCAGCAAATGTGTTGAATAGAAGAAAATCTGTAAGAATCTATGCGCGGTTTATGAACAGAATTAATTTTTCACCATGTTTTGTATTATGTGAACTTTCTTCACCAATAATGGTAGGTACATTTAGTTTCCTTAATCAACACTTATAACTAACATGAGCATTGTTTCTTCTCACAGATTTTCTTCTCTTCGACACATTTGCTGATGATGAAGGATCAATCCTTCGAAACATATCCTCTTACTTATGTCCATGACCGTTGGTCATTATCGAAAATAATTTTATGTGGTGGAGTTGTGACTGTGAGTTCTTTTACCCCTCCTGATTCAGTTTAGTTCATCGAACCAAAATATCACCTGACGAAGCTCTTGTGTTAGCGAAACATGTCGTGTGTTTGAGAATTTTGTGGAAATCTTATCGTTCGTTTAGTTTTCGAATTTGTCTTTCAGCATCAATCCTCAAAATCAAAGAATTTCATCGAGTTCATACAATCATTATGGTAGTTTGAATTGCATATTAGGTTTTTCATCATATCGTTTGGAAGTCAGTTACGAAACGATTTCAACGGTATATCGAGATCGATTGAGACACTTAGCAATTCACAGTATCTTTGTGAAATGATTGAAGATTCCCCACGATATTATATAAATAATATCGCAATGACACGTTATCACCATAGCGAAATTTTGAGTGAAGTTAAGGGCATATCAAATTCACTAGTTCGACAATTGAAAAATTGATCGAATCAATATTTCAAGTGGAAAATAGTATTTTTTATCGCTTGTAGCGCACGAAAGAAAATCTCTATAATGTTCAGAGAACATCGTGCGTTCCTAGGGAGGTTAGGAACAGGAGGTAGGTATTGGAATTATTCTTGAACTTCTGGAGATTATATGTTGTTGGAAAACATGATAATAATATGTTCGATGCAATTTAGGAAAATTCTCATTCAATTCACTCAATGATTATTATTATTTGATACCTACTATCGAAATTGATTGATCCAATTACGTATCAGGAAAATCGAAGTTTTGTTTTATATCCCAGCATCATCTTTATCCATTATTCGTGATTTTTTGTCACCAGCAACATGTTTTGTTTCAGTACTAGTCTCAGTCAAATGGACTCAAGTACATGGAACATTGATATGCAAGAACTCGAATATAACCCTTCTAAGAAAGATTTGACTGATGCTAAGATCCACCATTTGTTAGCAGAAGAACTAGTGAAGCCGTATAGAAGGGTGAGTGTAAGTACCTATACATTCATGAAGTAATATAATTGCTCCTCATTTCACTTGCATTCTTGCTTAGGATTATACAAGAATAAAACATCAACAGCTCCCAGGTAACAAGCTGGCGTCATTTGACCTCAAAATGACGTCATTCTGACGTACTTAATATGACGTTATATAGACGTCCTCAATATGACGTCATCTGATGGTCATTTTCATGACGAATTATGACCATTATTTTATTAAGTCATCTACATCAAGGAAAATTCATAATCAAGAAGTTTCCCATCTCTGTTATATGAAAACGTTAGTAGTCATGTTATATAACATATATTATTATGTCACTGATCATATATTATGCTTTATAATAATTTTCCCTCTAATCTGTGCGAGCTGTGTGTTCTCGATTGTCTCTGAGATAATTGTTAATTATATATCTTATTCTGTGCGAAGTATTCTTCCTATAGCTATTGAAAATATCAGACCGAATTTCACGTCATAAAAAGCTTATAACGTTATTATTCTGGGATGCGAATTCAAATCAGAGCGGGAGAGTGCGTAGAGAATTGCACTTGATTGGTCGGCACCTCGTCGGCACGGACCTTGCGCAGACATGCGGCCAAGCGACAGGCAGTTGCCGGTTGCGAATCGCCGTTCACTTTCGTCTTTCGCTTCGCCGTTGCGGCCATGATGACCATAACAACAAAATAACAATACATAGAAGGCCATCATTATCATGTTATTCGGCTATCTATATGGTGTGGTGTGGTGGTCAGACTTATTCATATTCATGTATCAAGTAGTAGAATTCCAGGATGGTAGCATGGTCATTATTTTAGACAAGTGGTATATATGCCGAAAAAGCAGAATGTGAATTGGACGCCATTGAAGGAACACCATATGGCTCTGAGAAATCTCTCGAGTGCATCATCCGAACGGGATAAGTTCCCAATAAAAAATAAATTCAATTATAGTACCTACCTATAATATTATTTTGTATTCAATGTGGTAAAGCCGTGAAGGAATATCTACATAATCATACGAAAAAAATCTTATCTTTTCTGATGATATTGATACAACCCTAATACAACACTGTATTTTTTTACCTAAAGAAAATATCGAATTAGCACAAAATAAACTGAAACGTGCGGAAGATTTCAGTGATATGAATAATCGTAAAGATCACGTCATTTCAACGCCATTAGAATGTCGTCATTTTGACGCCATTAGGATGACGTCATTTTGACGACATGGAAATGACGCCATCCGTCTTTGACTTAGAAGGTCATATAAACGTCATTATGATTTTGGAAGTCATCCTGACGTCAGGCCTGACGTGATAATGACGTACAAATGACGTCAGCTTGTTACCTGGGCTGATACGGAATGAGAATGTATTTCGATACTTCGTATGATGCAATGAGAATACGTAATCAGATTGAAAGCATGTCATCGATCGATACCTATCGAATTATACCATTGTGCCCACTCATGCGACAAGTTTCATCCCAGTTATTGCTTTCCCAAACTCCTAGTGGAATATTCACGATTGATTCATTTGTGCATTCATATGTCACATCAAATACAGAACCGAATAATTCAATTCTCAAATTACTTGAAATTTAATTCATCTTCGAATTATGTCGATGCGACATCTATAAGAGATGATGAAATTTCATGAAATTGGACAGCAAGATCTTGAGAAGTAGCTGTGACTGCATTTAGTGAACATACCAAATCCTTGTACAGAACTATCTTCGGAATTGCGATTCTCAAATCAGGAATTCGTAGAAAGAATTAAGGTTCTGATGTGTCATGATCACTTCTCTTGTGAGAATACGAATATCGATATTATGTATCCGGTAGTGTGAGCGATAGGCGAGTGGACTCATTTTCCTACATTTCCTAAATAGAATCATCATTCGAATAGCTTTCAATTTCATAATTTCTTAAAATTTGTTGGTCGATTCCAAGGTTTCAAAATCATAATAGCACGGTAATTTTCAAACGGATAAAAATTGACCGCGAGTAAAAACTGACGTCACGATGAGTGAGTAGGAGCAGACCATAGCACAGTTGCCATATGTTGAAATACGATGGGAACTCAAGAAATATAATTAGCATTGAACAATCAATTGTCTCGAAGTGTTTCCTCATGTGTTCTGGCTTATTGGTTATGATGAGTTTGTGTAGATAATTATCATTTTGATTCACACTAGAGGATAATCAAACCAGTAAACACTTGGGTAAACGTGAAAACAACGACGCACGAATTATGGGTGTCATTTTGTCAGTTCTCAGCATCCAGTTTAATTGTGTCAAGTCTTCAACATTCATATAAAATTTCTTTATGGAGTATAGGGAATATTTGGACAAGGTGGTTGTTCAAAAAAGTCGAAAATGAACTAAAATATCATGAGTTCCTCCTATTAGGTTCTATCAGGCGACATGACTCTTGCAACTCTTCGATAACTTGATGAAAATTGGTGATCTGGAAACTCTGCTTCAAGATTGGGAATGAGAGATCAATTGACCCATAACGAAACGGCATATAGACTGACGTCACCATAAACTCAACTTATCACCAAATGGCGGCCATGACGGTACGTTTGAAGTGAGCTCCTAAATTCAACAATTTAAAACAATGCATAGACTCATGATTTACATGAAAAAATATGCGAAGTGTTGCAACAATTGACTGAGGTCCCTGACGGTTAAATGTCAAAAAATCATTATGAATCCACTCGCTGATTATTCACAGATATTGCACAGAATATAAAGTACATTCCGAAACTGCTTGGTAAGCTTGAGTGGCTGCATCATCTGCCAGGCAATGTATGGTTCGTAGGTTCGAATCATACGGTATTCAATTCAGAATGCGTCTTGTACAATGTGTTATGATAGTAACAGTCCTGATATTAGCAGTCATTTGAATGCTCTCGAATATTATTCCACAGCATCGAAAATTGAGTTACAGCCGCCATGCTGTGAATGACCGTGATCTTTCCTCGCAAGTCAATTACAGAATGCATTTCAATATGAGGAGACTAGTGGCCGATAAGAAACACCATCACAAGAGGCATAGCAAAAAATTGAATAAGGTGAGTGGATAACATAATCAATTTCATAAGAAGGACAACTCAAATCATGAATTCTCTTTATATTCTATTACTCCATGATGAATCATGTTTTTTTTGAAAATGCTTGAACAAATATGAATACATAACACATGGATATTTTATCGGAATAAGAACATTCATTACTTTCGTAAATCTGGATCAGATGTTCAATTGAAAAAAACGGGTAGGACGAGTTGAAGAGACTTTCATATTATATGAACATGATCATCGACGAACATAGAAACACTATTTGTAAGACTAGTGGAGTTTTTTTTGCGGAAAAGTGGAACATTTCATGGGTTTTCGAATGGAAAAATGAGATAATTCTCGTTGAGGTTTCAAACAATGTTATAGTGATGAAACAATAATCGCTGGAGTCATCAAATAACCAGTGTATCAGAGACCGATTCGATTAAAGTTTTCATAATTTGATGTATTGGAAAGTTGATTCATTGGTGGCATGAGAAATGAGTTTGACATGCAGTCAGCTATTGATACAACATTATGCAGGGTCAACATAATGAATATGCTGAAAAACCGATCGAGCAGAAAGCGGTGTAAGAAAACGAAGTTAGGCAGTGAAATAATGAAACATTTAAGTAAATGAGCAACTCCAAGTAATCGAATGGGCAAAGTGAAATCTTTGTTCTGTATACCTATTCAACTTCCAATTTCTGCTTGTTCAACTTGTGATATTACTTTTGTTGTATGGCAATAACAATCTGAAAGAAATATATACTAGAGTTTTTCTGAAATCAAAAAATCTGATAACGATTAGGTGGGTAATTGGTATTAGAAATTGACAGGAATTGTATAATATACCATGTGAGTTCTTTGAAATCACCTCTGAGTGAACATAATATTTCAGATAACAATATTTCCTGATACTTATATGTGTAACAGTCTCAGAGTTCTGGTGGATTCACTGATAGTTACGCTGATGGTTTATAGGACTGCTCATTAGCCTCAAATTAACCAAATGTTGACGAGGTTGAGCTGAACGAGTCATTCCAGAATGTTCGGGATACCTATTGGATGAATAAAATCGATTTTTCAGAACGTTATCACATTAGTATAGCAATAATAAATCGGTTTCATCAATCATGGTCGATGATTTGATTAATTCATGTTCAGTAGATTTGATCTGGAATACTTATATATATAATATGAATTCAATATAATTTCATGCACACACATACACCCAAACACACAAAATATCTCATGGTTTCCATCGCTGATTCCAAAAAAATGCTGATTGCGACAAGACAGCATATCGTCTTTCGTACATCATATTAACGAGATTTTTAATAAAGGTGCCAGTTACATTCTCGGGAAATTAGTCTGAATCTAGTTTTGTATTATGTTAGAATCGAGTTAGTTGTAGAAAAACGAGAATAAATCTTTTTAAAAAAGTACTTGGGCATTTCGGAAAGTCATTTGGCGCAGTCGGAAGGATTTTCCGGAGTTTCGCGTATTGAACGTGGACCATTCGTTCGAACGATTGACTAGAAATTCGAACCTTGGTGCTTCGTTTTGTGGAGGTATTGTGTTGGCGGCTCTTCAAACCTCAAGAAACCGGATCTATCACAGATACCAATCCAACCCACCTTCAACGGATCATTGGAATTTGGGACAAAATCACCCAAGTTCACGAGGAAGACTCATACAGTGGAGACTGAATCGCCCAGCTGTTGGTCCCCTTTTTAGTTGAGCAAGAGATGCTCATAGTCACTTTGATCTTCATGTGAGAACGAGCTTATGAAAGAATTGTTCATTACTTCTGAAAACTTGAATATTGAGAACACTTCAACTGACTCTCATCAAATCAACACGCCTTCAATTTGACCATACCCAGAATCTGATATGGCCCAACCTTGCAGATACGAATACCTAAATTGCCTTCCAGAATTCGATGGAAACCCTGAATAATTGAACACATCCATTTCAATAAGCGAATCTCTGTTCACAAAATTTCATATTGCAAATGACCCGACTCACTTCCACTGAAATTTTGATGAATATTCAGAATATCTCTCTCTACATGGGACGAACTCAGATCAGTTCTTATCAGGAACTTTGCCGATCAATAGAGATTTGGTCATGTTAAGACAGACCTCTGGCGAAAAACCACAACGTATATTGAATTTTTTATGCAGCTACACTGACGTTCATGAAAACTCTGTTGAAGCAAAGAATTTGAAACGGGACCTTTATCAAGATTCAGCATTGAAAACATTCTTGGCTGGATCGAAAGAACCTTCAGGTACAACGATACGTTGTATGAAATCAACTAGTTTAAGTGAAGCCCTTCAATTGGTGATCAGAGAAGATAACATTAACTACTTCCAGAATTCCTCTGAAAGGAGTAACACTCAAAACCAAAGTTTTCTAAATCAAAGGCCGCATATGCCCCAACGCAAATTCAATAATGTACGGAATGGAGCATCCAACTTCCAAAAACAATATAATCAATTCAGATACAATTCATTTCTTTCTCATCCCCTGAATATTCAAACTCGACCAAATAATCAACCACAACGTTTTTTCTCAAACGCCCAAGTTCTCGGGAAGCCCGAAAATAGAAATGTTTCTGAACCAAACACAAATCAAACATTCTCCATAGCTGCGCCTATGAGCGTTACAACAGGAAACACTGGGGATTCCGCTAGACCCTCAACCTCATTTCAACAACTAAACCAAACTTGCACACGAACTCCGATGAGGGTTTCAACAAAAAATACTCAAAATAATTTCAACAAACATCAAAGAAATTTTGCATCGGAAGAGCGATTTCATACCGAAAGTGACCCAAATTTTCTAAACCACGAAGAATATTATTCCGAATACAACAATCAAAATCTTGAAGGAATTCCGACGCCACAAGATGATGTTGTATGTGTCGATAATTCTCAAGGAAATTTTACAGAAACGCCTCTGAACAATTAAAATACTTAGAATCACAAATAATTTCACTTAACAACGTCAATAGGAGCGAATTATCATACACCGTATTACTTGAACACAACAAATTATCGAAATTGAATCCCCAATTCGAAATGGTGAAATTATAGTCTCCTATAGACAGATTCACAACTGCGAGATACCCGAAAGTCTTAGTATTGCAAAAAACGGCGAAGCCTATACATCATTACTCAATTATACCACCAAAATCGTAGCATTGGACATTTCCGAACCCATATCAGTCGAAGAATCTGATAGGCAAGAAATAGAAAATATTGATTTGAATCATATTGAAAACAGCCCAGATAAAGATTCAGATCTTCGAAACATTAGAGTTGATCTTCTCAATGATAAAGAAGAAACTCTATCCTGGATCTCTGCAAAGAATTCACAGACATATTCTACCATGAAAATATTCTACTCACTTTCACCAATCGAATAAAACATTAGATCAACACAACAGACGACATTCCTGTTCATTCCCGGCCTCATAGATATCCTTTCGTTCACGAACATGAAGTAGAGAAACAAATTCAAAAAATGTTAGACTCGAAAATTATATGACCCAGTAACTCACCCAGGCAGCACGAAGAGGTCCTGAAAGTATCTTGAAGATATCCTTCTAGGAAATTGTGATGATCTCTGTGACTTCTTTGAGAGATTGCCGAGAGCGCTATATCACCTACAAATGTCCGCAACCTCTAGGCTGAGTGAAGGTTTGAAGATATCCCACGCAGAAATTCTCATACAATGCCCTCAGGCGAGCACTTTGAGGTATACGAATCAATCGCCACTGGCGAGAACTGAGAGTCCTCGCAATTATGATCTGTTTGAGAAATTCGCATGCATAGCTTTGTGAAGTTTAACTAGCGCCAGCTATATTGTTCGGGGTGAAGTTAAATTCACTCGATATTTGTTTCAGTGCCAAAGATAAAGTTATAAAACTCTCAGATCAACGTATTGAGCTTCAATCATATATTATTTCATAGCAAGACATTGATCAAGTGAACTTTTTCACTTGAAAACATCTTCCAGGAGTTGGCCGGGTATTCAGTAAAAAAAACAGACGTCCGATATTCACCCACGAATTTAAAGTAGAAATATTCGATTCTCGATCCCACCTGAATTGGAACATTTTTGTCTATTCCGTCAGAGCAGATAAGTATCATTTATTTACTGCAAAATTTGAAATAACCAATCTTCCATGTTGGCGGGAGATGATAATTCGACCTGATGGACAAATTCTCTGAGACAGTAAGAAAATGAAGTATCTAGTATACAATTATTATTATCATAGATTAATGACTTCCATTCCATGTTAATACTGGGTGTCCAAAGTTATCGTATAGGTACCGGCAGAAACTCTCTTATTCGACAAGATGATGAAAAAATAGACAAATGACATCAAAGTTCTTTCTTTATGATTGAAAATAATGTATTAGATTGGACAGCCCCGTGGTACCTACTCCTCAATTTTTATTGAATGGACTCCCTGTATATTATCATTGAAAATTGCCTTTCATTCTGTTTTGGAAAAGAACGATAGCACATCGGTACTTTGTATTCTGTTCATCAATAACAACAAAAACACTAACATTTTTTGACCTTATTTACGTTACATCAATTGAAAACTGCCTCCTCCCATGTTTGTAGGAATTTTCCACAATAAAAGTAGATTAATTATCATACTAGGTAGGTACCGTCTGCAATGATTGATGTTCTGCACTTCAGAATGGAATATCTGTCATTAATTTTTTGAAACAAAAATTCAATCCATACTTCTTATCTGTGAACTTCTTGAACACATGAGTGAAAGTAATTTGTCATTTGAATAACATGGAAAAGTCGCAAAATGTTCATGTTTTTGTTTTTATCAATGAAAAACACACCAAGTATGTGCTATATCGATGTATTCCATGTAGATTGACACACAATTTTCAGAGACAATATGCTATCTGAAAATAAAAACTGATCAGTATCTACCATCAGGGCGCTGCCAAATATATCACATTCCAAATAAATCGATACACAATTTTCAGAGACAATATGCTATTTGAAAATAAAAACTGATCAGTATCTACCATCAGGGGTCTGCCAAGCCATCAGGAAGTTCATTTAATGCCATTCAATGCAGTTTTTCAATGTTTTTGATATCTTGACAAATATGCGAGATATTGCCTGTATACGATAACTTAGGACAACCAGTATTTGAATTATGAAAGTAAATCAGCTACAAGAGAACTGGAATCAAAACGTCACTTTGCCCATGTAAATCTCCATAAGAAAAGTTAAGGTTCATTCTGGTCATTTTTGTCCACTTCAAGGTCATCCGGCTCCGACGGCGAGCAAAGCGATAGATCCGTTGCAAAGATAACGGTGCGCATTTCATTACATTATTCACCCAATATTGGCTATATACAGGGTGTATGAGTTGGCTAATAGTTGGGGAAAATATATATATATATATAGAGTGAACCCAAAAGGCGTTATACCTCCTCGACGAGTAGACTACCAGCAAATAGGCTACCCGCTAAGAAAGCTTTCGTGACTGTTCTATAATAATATTCTTGGAAATATTAGTGGGATGCAGTCTGGACCAA